GATATGCCCATATTTGGGTATAATATGACATCATCATGCCATATATGGGTACACCATAGAGATTTATCACATAAAATTTTATAGAATGGACATGCAATAGAATGTCCTTGCCTACCTTTATTTTTATAATTTTCATTGAATGTTGAAATTTATTTTGTAGGATAAATTTTGGATGAAAGTCCTAGAATATGTTTGATATTTAAGCAAAAAGTGTTGCAATAAGAACATAGGAAACAACCTAAAATCAGTTAAATAAATCATAGAGTGTATTCTCAATATATGTAAATGTTAGGTTTTTTTTAATGGTGAATGGCAAGAAAGTTATGTAATTTTAAGTTTATATAATTCTGTTAAATGTTTAATTAAAATTTTGAGGTTTTGCAGATTTTACAAAAATAACAAAATATACAATTATTAAGAGATAGTAGAGGAGATAAGCATGGTATTAGTGTGGTAATCAAAAAATGTATCACAATGCAGGAAAGAGACTTAAATTGAAAGGATGGATGAAATTGCCCTTGAGAGATGCTAGATGATATGGAAAAGATAAATAAGATAAGGTTTATGTTGTTATGAAAGAGTAAATGTATAAAGAAAACTGGAGGAAATAATTCTTAGAACCTGCTAGAAGGCAGAAAGCCAATGATGATGATAGTATTTACTAAAATAGCATATAAAAATGTGATTGAAAACACACGGTGAGAACGTCATTAAATTAATACTCCCACTGAGTTTGTAGCCTTGACAAATATGAAATCATTTGATGTTACAAATTGAGTGTTAGATTCAGATAACACATTGAGCCTTGTTTCCATAAAATCGTTACATTATGGCTAGTGTTCAGCCCAATTATCGTACTGCGTAGCAATCCATAACGCAATTGGGAAGGCTTCCCGATTCGACCGACCAATCGGCATCACCAAAAGCTGTCGGTGATAGCGTACAGCGATTGAAAGGAAACCATGCTTTAAAGGGAGATAAAAGATTCAACTGCCAATGATACAATAATAGTGTATGTGATATGATAAGCACATAAGAATGTGCTTATCATATCAGAACTTTCAATAAGAATTTTGATTGAGTGAAACTTTATCTGGATTTATAGTGAAGTATTAGTAATAAATGACTTTTTTTTCCAAAATTTTTCTGTCCTTATTTGATTTCCCCCTTTCTCACCCATTGTTGTTTCAAATATTCTTGTAATGTTAAGTATTTTTAATTGTTGTTGTTATTTTTATCATTTTGTCCACATGAGTTAAGGCACAACAATTTCTGGTTTCTCTTTGGATTTAAACCCTGGACCATGGAATTAGACCAGGCAAGCATCTTAACCACCATTCTGCAACCTATGGGTTGAGACCCAGTGTTTGGGTCACGAAAAAATGTTGATGGGTCGCATATCTCTTCAGATTGTGGAAATTTACTTAATCAAACGAAAGAAATCAAAATTACAGTAAAGATACGTGCATGAAAGTGTGGCATATGCGTCAGTGTACTTTGTAATGTGTGTGTTATCAATAGTCACATTTTGAATAAGATACTATCAAAACATTTGTACTTCAGTTGACAACTTGAAAGTTTTAGTTTTGCTTATATCAATGTGTTTGGCTTTCAAGTGAAAATTATAGCGACATTTTTCTCGTCAATTAGTGTGTACAATACTCTTCCAATAACCCATATATTTCTGGTAGCAAACTTAAGAATTTATTTTTGTAGTAAAACGTCTGTAATAACTTAACTTAGCTTTAATAACTTCAGTGGTTCTGTTGTATGAGTAATTCAAATTTATATTAATTTCATTTTTATGGCATTTAAATATAGTTTGTGGGTGATTTGAAAAATCTTTTATGAATGAAGTGATATCTTTTAATTGGTTGACAAGAAATTAAGTTAACATGGTTCTGATCTCCGCTATTCCTTTGATTTATTGGCTTAATAAAAAAATTAATAGAATATTCAATCATTTTACCATGAAATTCAGGTGATAGATTAGGTCTTCGGGTCCGATGGGCTGTGGACTAAAACGACGTTCCGCAAACTATGGTCCGCGGCCCAAATTTGGGCGAAGCCGTCTGGAAATTGAAAAAAAAATAACAAAGACGTTTTATCATGGAGAAAATAGTTTTAAATAAAGCCGCTTCATTGTTACAGTGAATGCGTCATTTGTACATGTTGCTAAAGTGCCAGATGATGCATGCTATTTGAGTTATCAGCGGTTTTTGTGCCTATGCCCCCTCGGGAGCTTTTATCTGTATATTTATTCCTGATAGTGCAACATTATTTTCTATAAATAAATATACTGTATATATACCTTTTATAAGCATTAAATACATGTCAAGCGCGGATCCAAAGTTTACCCTGGCTATCGCACAGATGGGTTCCCATTTTGGGAGAGTCATGAGAAGCGAGCTACAGTAGCTTGTTTTGTTGCTGGAAGATAAATTTTAGATATTCGAAAAGTTTTTGTTTTCTAGATTCTTTAATACACTTTGTGCATTATGAGACGTCTATTATTGAATACGCTTTGAATTCATAGTTTTTTCCTACTTCAATGGACAATTAATAATTATGATGATGAAGAGGAAGCTGTGCAAGATTAATTAACAGGCCCTTTGATGTGAAGTGTCAAGCAAGGCCGGTAACCTAAGTTACGGTTGGGAATTTGGAGACATTATCGTCGTCGTCAAATGTTCAATGCACACAGTCGGACAGTAGATGATTTTAATATGATATCTGTTTTGTATAGAAAGTAATCTGAAACCCATAAAATATCAGTTCAGGCATTCATTAATCTGTCTGTGGAAAGTATATGAATCATACAAAATAAAAGAATTCAAATAAAATTAAAAATATGTAAAAAACATCTACACTAAATCAAAATGAAATATTCACTGTCTGTTGGATCCCAGTTTTAGTATTGCAGGGGTTCTAAAGGCTTTACAGTATAACCAATCCCTTTATTTCTGATAGATCGCTGATTAAAATGTAAAATATTTAAGATTTTATATTCAGTACATTCTCAAATGTTATGTAAATCTCGTATATCCCAAAATTACGTTATACTGTATTTATGCACCAAAGTAGAAAATTTAACTTAATAATTTTGACAATTGTCGGAGGAGGGGGAAGGTGCGGAAATACAAATGTACGGTTAATAAAATAATATTTAATTTGTATACAATTAAATTTTATCACTGAGAGAACAGATAATGATGTCAAAATATTATATATACATGGAGGCTTCATGATTAAAAGTTCTTGCCAAGATTTGGTATGTCGGTCCCTGGCGCGGCAGGGCTGCTGGGCCGCTGCTTGGTGCCTGGAATCGTAAATAGGCCGTGAGGTAAAAAGTTTGCGGAACGCTGGACTAAAAAGTTGTGGAACGGAGATCTTAACCACCAAACAACAGCATATTGAAATATAGGCTACATAGACTTACAAAACACTCACAAGTCGAAAATATGTAACAAAAAGAACCAATACATGAAAATAATGTTATACTGTACTATAATACAGTACATGCTCCAAGTATCGAACTGCACGCCATCGTGTTGGGATTCAATATTTCAAAATACTGTAACATACATGGTACAATAATACAAATAGATTCTTTTTTTAATTTTGTGTGTTCAGATAGTTTCAATTGTGTTTTGCTGCAATACTAGCAAGAAATTGATTACCATCCCTGCAGAGATGGCTCTAACATAGCATAATATATGTTGGGTTCATCCTGCCTTGGGAATATGTTCTGTTATGATAATTAATGTCAGGTTCAATTCAACAAGTTTTGTTTACTATCTAAATTCTTTTTTTTTTTTTTTTTGCATGAGGAAAGAGGCATCCGCAGTTTTTTTTCCCCAATGTTTGATGATACAAATTTAATTTATCATTTTTGGAAGGAATAATATTTGTTTTTTTTTTTTGATGATGCTTAGTAGCAGATATATATCATCATTATGTGTCATATTAATGATATTTATATTATTAGCAAATTTTACTTGCCTTTTATTTCATATTTTTCTTTTTTTCATTTACATTTATTGCACTCTGTGGAATGGCATTCCATAGAGAAAAACAGATTTGTCCTGAATCATATAAAATTTACTGTGATAATAATGTATTATAAGCAGCCATAAAGTAGTACAGTCAATTTTGAAATTGGCAGCTGAGACATAATTGTAAACCAATAATATATTTCATCCATTTGGGCGAAAAAAAAAAAAAAA